CCGTCTCGGAGGAGTATGGGAACGAACATTGTGACACGATAATTTTATATATAAGATATAGCCCATAGAAATAATTTAAATTTAAATACTATTAAAAAAATTCATAAACGTATAAAAGAAAAAATAATACTTAATTTACCAAATAATGTTATTAATTATTGTAGTATAAAATATCAAAATAATATGTCGTAACGAATTCACTAAAATTCTGAATAATAACACAAAAAATGTAAAAATCGCTTTTAAAACTAATGATAATTTAATTTAATCAAACATATAAACAATAGAACTAAAAATTTCACAAAAAATCCCCCTTTATTTGAAAATGCTGATATATATAAACTTAAATGTAACTGTAGTTTATTTTTTACAGGTAACACCAATACAAATTTTAAAAAAAGATATAAAGAACACATTTCTGAAATAAAATTAAAAAAGGATGCCCCCAATATAAATTTCGCTAAACATGTTTTAGAAAATAACCATAATATAAGTTTTGATATTAATACAAACTCAGAAATATTAAGTGCCCAAAATAACAATTTAATTAATTCAGCTTTAAAAGAATTGCATGTGCACAATGAAAAATAATTTGAATAATATTTTAAATGTTCAACCCAATTTTAAAATCATATATCAATACATTTTAGATAAAAAAAAATATCTATGTCTAATAATAACTAATTTTAAATAATCACTCATATGAAAATGAAAATTTTTTTATATTCTATGTAAAGGTAATTATTATATTATTTAACTAACGATATTCTATTGTGATGAAAGTTTTACTGTAAAATGATCGCGTTAAATATATTATTATTATCTCATTCGGCAGCTATAACGATCAAAATTCCAATCAGAAATTACTACCGACCATACAGATAATATTAATATCTGTTTATTACTAGATGTAATAAGAACATCAAGTTTATTCGCGAAAGATAAAGTGGCTATATTAAAAATACGGGAATATGGGAGAAAAAAGAGAAACATTAGAAAAGATGTTACTTTTTTTTTGATAGGTAGGTAACAATAAACTACCGACCTATAAATATTGGTAATTTTTGGGATTTGTGAACATTACTGGCTACTCTATGTCGATCTGTTTTTGGACGGCTAAAAGTCCTAAGTTGTGTTTATAAGTTATACAAATAATAATTACTATTATTTTTAAGTTAATACTGATTTAAAAGAGAAACTTATGTACATGTACAAGCATTCATCGGGACCACGGGACAGCATTTTGAAATACGAAATTTTCCCGTAGAACGCGGTACATCTGGCCACCCTGGAGAAAGGTCATTACAATTTTTTATACGTATTGAATTATTATTATTATTTACCTATTTCATTTCGAATCATTAANATGTCATCACAATAGTAAATATATTAAATTATCTATAGTAAATAAATATATAAATTAATAAATGCATTGCCTGGATGCCTCGAGTCGCGTTTTACATTTTAACTGTGATATATCCGATGATGAATTATTAATTCGAAACCGGTCAGATAATACACTTGCATAAAATTTCAGGCTACACATTGATTGATTCCTTTTTCATATTTTTTTACGAATATTAACTATTTTAATAATTTTTTTTACTTTATTATTATATTATTTTACTATTTTATTTTAATATTATTGTATTGACACAGTCAAAACATATATTAACATTTGAATCTATTTATTAATTTATCGTTTATTGTTATACAGAAAGTAGAAGGCTGAAATTATCAGGTTCGGGTAGGTTAGGTTAAAAAAAAATAATTGTCTGGTTGTAGATCAGTCATGAAATCATTATAGCACTACAATATTCGTTTTTCTTTGTCTATATTAGACCCGAATGAAATCAAAACCTATTTATGTATTATGTAATATATTATATTGTAAACTTGGAACAGTTGAAACCACGCACCCGTGCGATCAGTCGAAGCACACAACGTACAACGGAGTTGAACATTTTACAAAATATTACATTACGATATATATACTAATAATAAAAGTGATAATAATTATTAGAGCGTAATTTAAACAAGTAAACAGTCTTGACAGGCATGGTTTTGAAATCATTTAAATGAATATTTAAGTTATTATGTATACTAAATGATTTCATTTTTACTTTTACACAGTAGATACAATAAATATTATAATAATACCTTTGTACATTTTATTCAGGAGCGTTAAAATTGTGTTTGTTAAAAACGAAACTGTTTTAAGCCGACAGATAATGTATTAATATATAATATTCACGTAAAATAAGATTTGTACGCGTCGAATTTCGAAAAAAAAAAAAAAATTTAAAGCCATAATTTCATCTGTTTTATCGTAAACACGTATTCGGGATTAATTTTTTTTTTGGGGGGGTTGGGGGTTCAAAATATGTTTAATACATGAACAGACCTGAGTTCTAATTTCTGAGACTTAGTCTATGTTTTAATATAAATGTATATTTACTTTATAAATGTCGGGGGGGGGGATTGAACCCCTAAACCCTCCTGTATACATGCTTGTATTATAGTAAATATCTCGAAAACGCAAAGAAAAAAAGAATAATACATTATTAATAATAATTATTACACATTTGGCAATAGTTTTCGAAACTGTCTTCTCATTTGTTCCCAGTTCTTTGGATATAATTTGCCCATATTTTCGCATCGTATTTTCTGACATTGAACCCGCTTTGTCTTGTATAAGTTTATCATCCGTCTCTGACTGGAAGATACGAATTTAAATAAATTAATAAAATGTAAAAAAAAAAAACGAATTTCGTTATTCAAAAGTTTGATTTTGAATATTTAATTACTTTTTCATAATGATTTTGCTTTGTTGATATTACAACTGCAGCAGTATTTTCGTCAGACATATCGACAAAAAAAAAAAAAGACACACTTTTTTCAACAATATTTTTTTAAAAATCCAGAGCGTTATTACGAGAAATTACATGTACACGGTAAGACAGTTTAAAAAAAAAAAATGTTATTGTATTTAGTTCGCTACGTATGTCGTATGCCATTTGTATTGACGGCGGCAAGACAACCGCCAGGTAGTAGCAGTGGTAGGACCGATTGATAGGCGGGTAAGCGAATGAAGCAGTGCCGACACCAGGAGTGGGAACGCATGCGTGAAAACGGAGGTGTTTTCGTCCGCCACCCGGTGTACTCTTAATTGTAATATAGTTTTTTTTTTTATATAACAATAAAGACATTTTAACATTTTATAATATTTCGCAGTCTATCGGGCGGCGAGCGGATTTCCCGGTATAAAGACCCTGGGCGGCGCGGCGCGGCAGCGTCGGCGTTCAACAGTCGTGACGATTGTCGATGGTCTCTGGGTGGTCGGCTACGGCGGCAGCAGTGGCCACGGACCGTCGCTCGCGCGCTCTCTCGTGTCGTGCGTGTTCTTCTCAGTACCGGTACCCGAATCGACCGCGGTATATTCGACTGGTATCGGCGGGGATGGAAGCCGAGGACAGCCGGGGTTCCAGTGCGGTCGCGCGCCGACGACCACGAGTGGCGACGGCCGTACGGGTGTACGACACCACCGGACCCGCGTAGACGCGTATTGACCAGTGTCAGTGTGCCAGCAACGTTTGTTGGGTTCGTTCGTGGCTTTCCTGCGGTGCTTGCTTATTCGGTGTTTACGCGGTCTTTTCCGCGTTCACGAATATTTATCCATCGATCGTCGTACCGTATATCAACAATAATATTACCATCATTATCGCCGCGTGTCCAATAATAATCGTTATTATAATGGTTACGGGAATTTTTTTTTAAAAACATTACCGTTACACGTAACTGTGTTTTTGACGACGATTGTCGTCGTCGTCGTCGCGAAAATGTCCGTTTTTCCGCCGCCGCTGCTGCTGTTGGCGATTTCCGCGATCGTCATCCACGGCGGATCGGCCGCGTACTGCGACGAACATTTGTTCCAGAAACACGAAGGTCTTCAGTTTACCAAGGAGCTGAGCGGCACCGAGTACGGGCCCCTGAGTTCGTTCAAAACGCTCCACTGTTGTGGCGAGAAGTACCTCAGTCTCGAATGGTAAGAGCGTTTTTCGCGATATTCTATAATATGGTATCTAGTATAATAATATGTAAGCCTTTATAAAAGCGTTTTTGGAGATAAAACAACTACTCGTCCTCGAGATGTTCGGCATTTTATAATAATTATTTTTAAATATTCAACTCATTGTCGAAGGTATACATAAATGATCGGGAACAAATAGACCGAAAGACCTCCAAATGGTCCGTTGTGTCAGTCTTGTGTTAAGGGTTAAGTCACCAAACATAACTTACTAATATTTACCTCTTTAGTTTACTAACGCCTAACCTTTGAAGTTCCTACGGATTTAAACACCTTACTTCCTAAACTTCGTTACGTTTGAACCTCGGTTTATACCGATTTTATACCTATCTGTAAATATTATTAGGCAACTTTAGATACATGACTGGGTCCGGATTAAGGATTGTGGGAACCCGGGCTAAGGAGACATATTCTATTAAAATGGAATGGCAAAAAAAAAAGAGGCCATCAAATTCTCGTTTTAACTCACAATATGTTTTTTATGGGCCTTGGGGACGTGGCCTCCTCTGGCTCCTCCCTCAATTTGGGCCTGCACATGTACCCGCTCACTTAAGTACGTCTTGTTTGTAGAACAGTCAAATGGAAGACTGGATCGGTGACAGAGTTGTAAGTGTAAAAAGTTTTCGTGGAATTTTAAGAGTTTCGACTTGCATTAAAATTAAAACTTTTTAATGCAAAATTAAATTTTTAACTTGCAGAGACACTATAAGTATACCGATATTTTGTAATCAATAAATGGGTATAGACTGACATACACATAAGAATGAAAAAAATACCTAATGTCAGCATGGCAATTTGACTATATTGTTACGCGTATAATTTAATTTGATTTAGGAAAAAGAAAATTATTAATAATTTTTTCTAGTTGGTTTAATATTAGAGAGATCGTTTTTCTATTTTCCAAGGGGTTTTCAAAATTATTGGGAAAAACCCGAAAGATAACTACAATAGGTTAAACGGCGAATATGTACGACCCGCCGTGGTGTTACAGATTTTATTGTTTTTAATTTTTGCAACTTTTGTGTTTTCGATCAAAGTTTTTGTTTCAATTGAAAAAATTATAAGATATCAATTTTGTCCCTTTCAATATATAGCCACTGTTTTAGAGAGTAGTTTTCAGATATATTAAGTATTTTTCAGAGTAGTAAGGGAGTAGTGTTTTGATTTTCTTTGCAGTTTTTTAAATTTTAAGCAAAATCGAAAAATACGTAGAAAGAACGGGAAAATTTACGAAAATAATTTTATTATTTTAAATTTTGATTTTATTTTAATGTAGTTCAGTGAAAAATATTCATAGGTACTTGAAATTTTGACAGAAAACTTATATTAAACTTTTTTATACGTGGTAAAATTTTCAAAATATTTGAGCCCACAAAAATTTAATTTTGCGAGGTTTATACCTAATTTGTATTTAGTAGGTACTCTGAGGATTAAATTGTTAGCCTAAACAGAAATTTGTCAGTAAGTTAACTATAAGTCGTACTTAGTGGTAAAAAAAAAAATGAGTTTAATGTAGTAATTTTATTTTTATAAGAATTGTAATAACAAATTTTGACGATAATCGTAAATTCTACAACCTTTGAAAACATGTATCACTGAACTTCGCTCCAAATCGGTACAAAACCATTGTATGTGTCTAAAGTTTCCAATTATTCAGGACCCACCTACATCAGTGGCTGCACCCGACTTCAGTATCAGCTCTTTTTTTTATATCAGTTTTAAGTTCAATTGATGATGAAAATCGTAAAAATCATTTTTCGTTAGCAACGATTTATTGTTACGTACAGATATAAATTAAATTACTCTATAATAATATATCCTACCTTCCCGACAACTCACATATACAACAGCGGCACTCTTATTATAGCTGTATTAAATCCTTTTTTTTTTTTTATTGTATCATTAATTTCGTCAGAGTTAATTTTTTTTTTAACTATCCCATATTTCAAGCAGAAGGTAAACGTAATTTAATTTTTCAACATGTAAATTTAATTTTTATACGTTTTCGGGTATTTTTCAAACTTTCGATTTTACCGCCTATATTATAACGCAAAACATTACTATATAATGACCAGGGATTGACAAATTCCAGTACATAGTGTAACTGGATACTAGCTACAAGTTACATACAATTTATTACATTTGTATAAAAATGATAATAATATAGTTTTCAGTCAATAAAATAAATTAAATTTATTTATATTATAGGTCTATAGACAATAGTTATAAGCTAATATATTATAAGTATTATAATTATTGTTTATTAATAACATAACTAGTAAGTGATAAGTAATTTGATACTCCGTCATTGACGTTGTTCCGCTTTTATCACAAATTGAATTAATATTGGTTAGTATTGTTCAAAATAATGATACAAGATGATTTTTGTAACAAGTTACGTGTATTTACTGTTACAAGTTACAAAACAAATATTTACTTGTTACATTTAAAAGTTACTTGAAAATTGTGTAACTGATTACAAGTTAAAAAAATAACCGAGTTACGTAACTTTGATACATGTACCTATAGCTGCCTATCTCTGATAACGAAAAATCGGCAAACAAATTTAATACAATAATTGCTTTGACAATCTCGTATACCGATTATACGATACGTGTGGTAACGTGTCCAAACCTGCAGTAGACTTATGGTCCAAGAGTATTTCTGCCAATAATATTATGTCGGCTGCCGGCCAAGTATACTGGATGCCATTGATTTTATTGGTCAATTATGAAATATCAATGGTAGGTATACGAAGGTGTACACTATACTTATAATATTATATTAATGGGTATTGTCAGGTTTTTTTTTTTCGGTTTTTCGGTCGCTCGTGTGAGATGTTCGTATTTCGTGAATGGAGAAAATAATGTAATAATAAAGGATTTTTTTTTTTTTTGTATTCGTATGTTAAATGACGATGCTGGCGTCGATGTCTTGCCTTGTTAGTAAACACGTCGAAATAATGAACTACTATTCAACAACAACCCCTCGATCCGCCTCGTGGGAGTATATATAGTTAGATGTTCTCTCAATATCGTCTATTGTACGTTATTCTCGGAAAATATAATGTTGTTTATTCGGTTTTTCTTCTCATTTTTTTTCCTATACATAAAATAATAATAATAATAATAATGTTTTATATTCGTGTGCGATACCATTATAATGGTATTTGGAATTCCGGGATTCGAAGTTATTATAATATAATATAATTCGATTCTATACAGTGTTTAATTTATCGCGTGCGAAATGAATCATTTAATACTATTATTATTGTTATAATTGGATAATGATTTTTTTTTTTTTTTTAAATATTATTTTTCTCCGTCAAAATCGCACATCGTAATATTTAATAAAACGGTTTTGAATAATGACCATTACAATGCAACACGGTCGATTAAAAAATATAATATGTCGATACCCCGTATCCATAGATAGAGGAGCTTCGTCATTAGAGTAGAATCCCCCCTCCCCACGAGTCGACTCGTCGCCGTTACGATATTTAAGTTTTTTGTTTTATAATAATTTATCTCGTATATAGTTCTGGTGGCAAGAGTTGCTCATTACTGTCAATCAAACTATATATTACGTCTATGTACTTGATTAAATTAAATTAAATTAATTTTTTTTTTTCGTTAACTATTTGTTAACATTTATTAGACGCCGTTGATAACGTCTACCACTCCCCCTCTCCCACCACCACCATAAAAAATGTAGGTATAACATATTATGCCTTCTCGGTAAAAATAAGTAAAATATAGTCTAATAATTGTATATACCTATAATCCAATAGGTTTTAAGTATTTTAATTTTTATAAAACTAATTAGGATTTTTCAAATCATACTCCACTAATAATATAACTAAAGCGCCCCCCTCCCCAGACTTCGAAGACCTCAACTAAAGGGGACGGATAATTTTACCTTAAAAAAGAAGAGATTCCGTCTCTCTTATCGTCTCCACCATTTTAATCATTGCATTATACTAGCCTACCGACCAAATAATATTATTGGGTCATATTACTGATGTTCGCGATAGTCAGCTTAAAGGCACGTGAATTTGTGCGGGAACGTTAAACCGGAGAGTTAATCAAAATATCTATAATAAATACATAATTTGTTCACGTCTATACATTTAATAAATCAACATTCCCGTACGAAAAATTCGGAGTTTGTTATGGTTGACATTATCTTGCATAATCAAAAAAATGTTTTAATTTTTTTATTCCGCTGTTTCGGGAAAACTGTACCTACCCATCCCGCAGGCGATAGCGGGCAAAAAGCGTACACGGTGCGGTCAATTTAATAATATCCGATACCTAATACGTAGATACGTTAAATTATGTATTTATTAATGTATGAAATAGGTCGATATAAAATAATGTATTGACAGTTCTCTCTCTCTCTAAGCTTTGGTTATAAGTGTCTAACGGTTTATTTTTATCCTTTATATTATATTAAAATATTACAGTCAACAACATTGCGTGTCGGTTTTTAAAGTATTTACTGAATACGGAGGAAAATTATACGCCCTTGTATTGATTTATTTTTACGCTGTCAGATATTTGTTCATCTTCGGGGTATCGAGTTGAATACTTACTCGGAATTAACTGCAGTACGAAAGTGCCCCGAATAGATTTCTCGTAATCGCGTACTATACAACTTAAAACTGCGTCCGACTGAAATCCTGTGCTGCCACTTCTATGATTTCTTGTTGACAATAATTTCTTCGTTACTATCTTAATAAGGATTAGGTACATACCTCTGTAGGTAAATACTTTTCTGACGTTTGATATCAAGAAAATGTACAACGCAGTTTATTTAAATATAAATGATATATTAACTAACGAATTTAATAATAAATAGCTACACAACTTATATAATCACCAGTTAATATGCGTTTTATCAGTATAAATAATAATAATTGTAATTATATATAAGAGGTAGATAGATAACAATATTTTGAAAAATCTCAGTGATTAGTTATAGGTCCCGAGAGTATAACAAGGAATTTATCGGTTTTACTACTTGCTTTTTGTCTGTTTGTTAACAACTTTTCTTTTAGAAATCTTGTTCCGATCATCAACTTCAGTTGTTTCTAATTAGCAAATTTTAGTTGGCGGGTGCTTTATTAGGGTTAGGGGTTATTTTTAGATTTCCTTTGTACTTTGTTTAATAATTGGAAAAATGAGAATACTCACAAAATTACGGTTTCAGTAGTTTTTATTATTTTTGATTTTGTACTAAGACGTGAAACTTTTATCGAATTCTTAAATTAGCGCTATCTAGACATTTTTTGAATTCATGGACATTTTTTTTATTATGATATCAATCTTATTATCCTGATATTTTATTTATTTCTATTAGCGTTTTAAGTTCGATTTTCTATTAATATCCGTTATAAATACAAATATTTTTTTATTTATTTTGTGGTCAATAATTTAATACAATTTTCAATTTAAATTTATTAAAATATATTTATATGAACAGAATTGTTATTCAATGATTTACCGTTGCATACAGATATAATCTGAATTACCTAATCTACAAATACAGAGATATTCCAACTTCTCAACATCCCACCTCCACCTCTACTCATCTATGGTGCAAAGTATAAAGAGACACTATTGCACTGTATTGGATCTATTATAATATGTATAACGCCTTTATATTATACATTTTGTCCAGTACTTTTGGACACTTTAAGTGGCTCCATCTGGACCAAATGAGTTCAAACTTTAGAATCAGAGGTTTGTTATTGGCGAATTGAAAAAATTACATTTTGGTTGATTTAAGGTATGAACTTCATCATGTTTTTAGGTGAAGAGGGTGTTCTTTATCTCTGTATTTCCGTACAGACCACCTAAGTAAAGCGAAAGAAATTAAATTTTAAATTACATGGTGTAAGTATCTAGGATATACATTTTGGTGGTTTCAACTTTTAACCTTAACTCAGGCGCGTCCTGAGCCGTGTGATGTTCTTTTTTATTATACATAAAATATCCATAATTCTTAAGTAGAAATAAGTACAAATGCAACTGGTTCCAAATGCCATAAAGATGATTCCGGATCTTGGAAATACTTTGATTGAAACAAGAATAAACACTTCTCATTTATAAACTTCAATAAATATTTTCTCAAGGGTAGGATAGAACTATGAAAAAATAAGCGTGAACAATCAATTTTCAAAAATGTAATAGAATAATATATTTTTAGAATCAAAATGAAAAATGATTAATTTAATTTAAATTTTAGTTTCTGAGTGTAGCGAAAAATGTATATTGGATTTACAATGCTGTTTATTTTTTCTTTCTTCTTGTTTGTTCTAGTCTGTGGACACGTTTTTTCCTGGTAAACTTGCTCCGATTTTTACGTATAGCAACTTTTCTGAAAGCTCAAGTTGTCTAGATTGTACTTTAGAGATTTTCAACGCCATTTTTTAAATAAAAGCACTTAAGTGGAAAAAAACGTAAGATTTCATTATTTTATAAAATCACGGACGACGTTTTCTACCAGAAAAAATGATTTAATCGAAAAATCACAAGATCTCTTTTGGTTGCCTCTTGATTTACTTTCTTACGATATCATCGCCAAACTTTTGAGCCACTGTTGAGCTTTTAAGGAATTTTAATTTTCGAGAGTTTTTGCTGTAATTCGGTTATAAATACAAGCAGAGACTTGAAACTTGGTAATATTTTTTAATTGGATATACCTAACGCGGTAAAATTTCGAAAATCATCGGATGATTTTTTTTTTTTTAATAAGTGTTTGAAATCAAATTTAAACGAAAATCATAAAGAAATTACAGCACTTCAAATTATGTATTACCGAACTGCCCTCGGAATCGTTTTTCGTCAAGCAATGGTTTATCGTTGTTTTCGGATATAAATGAAATAACCTTATGTATCCTACCTTCTCAACTTCTCAACTACAACAGTGGCTGCTCCCATCCCCAGTATCAGCTCTTTTTCTATTTATATTGTGACAACAATTTCTAAAAGGAAATTTGTTTTCAATATGTAATTGTAGCACCTATTTTTGAAAGAAAATATTGTCGTATTAACTAGATAGTACTTTAAAAGGGTAATTTTTTTATTTTCAAAGCACTTTTTATAATATCAGAAAACCCAGGATAAAACGTAAGAAAAACGGAAAAATTCGCAAAAATAATGCTTTTATTATTTTCAATTTTGTTTTTTGTTGTAATTTAATTAAAAATATTTGTTGAGACTTAAAATTTTGACAGAAAAGTTATATTTGACATGGTAAAATTTTTGAGTAATTTATTGAAACATTAATTTTGTGAGTTTTGTACATTAGTTTTATTTGATAGGTATTCTATGGATAAAATTGTTAGACTAAACAGAAATGCTTGAGAATTTAATAAGGTTTATTAAAAGTCGTACTTTGTGGTCAAAAAAAAATGTTTAGCAGAGACTAACTGGCTTATCACTTTTAAATATTCATCGAAATAATAACATCAATATAGAAAATATTGTTGATCAAACCGTTTGCAAAACGCTGCTTACAATAATAGTATTTTGGACTTGGTCATCTAATTTTTATTAATTATGATTATTATTATTTGTTATTTGTTACTGCATTTGTACATTATACAATATATCTGCAGTCTTCTAAGCTAATTTAAGTTGAAATGACATTAGACAAAGGTTTTTGTTGACCAAAGCGGTGGTATTCAAGAGTAAAAAAGCAATGCTTAAATTTGCTTAGGTACAGATAAATATTAAATTTCTCTCAATATCTTACCTTCCCAACTTCTTATCTATAACAGTGGTCTACCCGTCGTGCGAAGTATGTCCGTCTTTTTTTCTTATCAATCATTAATATTAAATTTAATTATTTTGTCTCCCCCCACATTCAAGATCTAGAAACGCATCTGCATCAATTATTTTTATGCTCAGATTTCATATTTTTATATGATATATCAGGTTTTAAATATCCTTTAAGATTTTTGAAATAGTAAGTGGGTTAAAATATGCGATTATGGAGAAATTTGACTCTAGTGACAAAGCACCGCTGCTCTAGGTTATAAAATGATATAATAACAATGAAAAATGGTATTTCTCGACGGCTGAACTTAATAAAAGTTTATAGTTTCGTTTTCGTATATAATAATGAAAATAAAACGCTTCGGTAGACGATAATTAATTAAAAAACTTTATTCTAATCAATAAATATTGTATAATAAAGTATATTTCGTATCGATAACAATTTAATATACCTTCCACCTACACAATATTATTATTTTATATTTTACGCGTAAATAGCGAATTAAAATTATTCCAAAAAATAAATAAATTTTCAGATTTATATTTAGTACATTATATACTTTTATTGTGAATCACTTTTTACTCTCATTTAACTATTTTATGTTTTGTTTATACTTTATAAATTAAATAAAAATAACGATATATATATAAAATTTGATTTTATAAATGAAAAATAATTTACTTTAGAAATAAGTATTTTATCTTCTGTATACTTATTCATAATATAATTCCTAGCATAATTAATCGTTATCTCACGCAAAAGTTGCATCCGAGTGCACTTTGAACAAGCTACAGAATGCAAATTAAATTCTCTGGTTGGTTCTTTGATTGTTAATACCACATATTTGTAATATTGATAACATAATTTCAATGGCATAGTACTGTGTTAGGTGCTTTTCATTGTTGAGTATTGATGATCCAAATCTATACTATAGCTATAGTCATTGAAAAGCCACCACTAGTTTAGATAAATTAGAGAGGAAATGGATAACTAAACCTACCTATTGGTTCAAATATGATAATGCTCCAATAAGGATGTTAGGATTCTAATTGTAAACTGAAAATAGTTGAAAAGCCATATGTTTAGATTACACAGGGGGGGGGGGGCGCAAACGATTTGCTAAGGTTTTTACTCAATACTCAAAATTAATAATATTTTATAAAATAACATCTGACCAAGCAGATTCGCATCTGTGGTTCGTTTAACCGTAAAGTTAAACGTTCGTAAGGGAACGTTAATACGCGATTCGGACTCAGACTGTAGGTTTAATCGTTTAAACGTTCAACCCGCGGTCGCTATAGAAACTGCTCCTTTTAACGTTAATTTTGTCAACGTTAGTAGCTCGTGAAAAAAGAATATTCATTTTAATTTTGAACTGAATAAATTATTATTCAAAACGCGTTTTTAGGTTCACAAAAATATCACGGAGGTCGTAAATATCATATTTTACTATACGTATTATTATTAGTAAGCCCGAGGGTATACCTACATTTTTTGTTTTTATCACTATTACTACTAAACATTTAAAAATAATCGCCGTTCGAGTTATATATTATTTTTTTTCGACCCTATTAAGTTTGTGTGTGACCATAACATCGACGATAGTCATAAAATATTAAGCTTAAAAAACAATACACGCGCGGACATAAAAATTTCATAGATACCTAATTTATTAATACGACTGTCCGTAACATTTTCGTTCAATTTTAAGTTATTTATTAGGTTTAAAACTCATGATATGAAACACAATAGTGTTTCGTGCATTTGTATTATAGGTAGGAAAAAATACAATTTAGTAGGTATTATTATACTGCCTTATTTACCTGTAATATGCGTCGTACCTATTATTGATAATTTAAATTATATTAATATTATTAATATGGTATTGTGTATGCCTAAAATTTAAAATTGAATATAGGTACTCGTTTGTCTAGAGCACCAACAGTTTTCTAAAACGTTAAAAATATTGACAATAAATTACTGTTGGTTTTAATTTTGTTGATCTAACACGATTTAATAATGCTATAACCTTTCCATCCTTAATTTCAATGATTTATCGTTGCTTTCAGTATATAAACTAAATAATAACCCTTAACTCCTAAACTCCTTACCTATAGCAGTAGCCAACCCATTGTGTAAAGATGTCCAGCTTTTTACTTATAGTTTTGTTTATTATTTCGAAATGTTTTTGAGTAATATTCCGTATTATCTAGTGTATTAAACTCTGGAGAGCGGACTAGTAGTAATAGTGCCAAAGGTAAAAGCGATTTTGTCAGGAAATTCGGACGTGGTCCAGAAGTTTTTATTAGTTTATTGTATACACTGACATAGTTTCGAGAGTGATGTTTACCTATATTTTATGAAATAGTGTTGGTTTAAAGTTATGTAGCCAGTGAGGATTATCTCACTCTACGGATGTACTGAAATTCTGGACTTTCTATATTATATTTTTAATTTTATATTTTTTTGCATTATGTGTTAATATTAATCTTTTGACCTGCAAATTAATTCGAGTGTAAACAATTTGAAAAAAAATTAATGATCAACATAAACAGTTTAGTAAATTCACTCGTTACTATACGAATTAAAAAAAAAAAATCCTATTAAATTATTAATATCTATATTCATTTATTCAGTGTCAGCGCCAAGGGTAGGGTCTCAGCTTCACCTTGAATTAATTTCTAAAAGATTGGCTTTCCACCCTGTAATTAATTTTATGTATCAACTTATTAAGTGGGCATTATTATTTATTTAAAAGTTTAATATTGAATAGGTCTGTGACGTATATACCTTTTATTATATTAAATAAACGTTTTGTCATTGTACAATATTTATTTATTTTTTCAATGTAATTTAAAATTATTATTTAAACATTTGTTACCTAATTATGTAGAACATAAAAAAAAAGACTGGCATACTTCGCATGATGGGTGGATTACTATTGTAGGTTAGAAGTTGAGAAGGTAGGATAATATAAAAGGTAAATTAAATGTATTATTGTATGCAATAATTAATAATTGCTGACGAAAAATGATTCTGAATGGAGTTCGATTTTACAGGGTATGAAAAACAGTAGTATTTAAGATTTTTGTCAAAATTTGGTATTTAAATTCTTATAGAAATAAAAATACTACATTAAACTCTACTTTTTCTTGTTGACCACTAGTATAACAATTTTATCCACCGAGTGTCTATCAAATAATAAAAATTATGTACAAAACTCGCAAAATTTAAATAGTTCAAATTGGCTCAAATAATTTGAAAATTTTACCATGTCTAGAAAATGCAAATATAAGGTTTCTGTCCAAATTTATTTCAAGTCTACAAATATTTTTAACTGGATTGAAACAAAAAAAAAAACAAAATTGAAAATAATAAAAGCATCTTTTTCGTAAATTTTCCCGTTTCTCCATTTTTTTTTCCCGGTTAATCGTTTTTATTTTAAATACCGTTTCGAAAATCAAAAAATAACCTTTGTATTTACCAAGTAGATAAAATTGACTTTCAAGAAAGGTGTTACATTTATACATCGGATTAAGTTTTCTAGGATAAAAGTGGTCTACAATATAAAAAAAAAAAATAAACTACCATTGTAAAAAAATGTAAAAAAGGAAAAAAAATCATTTGATGATTTTGGAAATTTTACCACGACTAAGTAAATCCAATATAAGTATTATTACCAAGTTTCAAGTCTCTACGTGTATTTATAACTAAATTACAGCAAACAAATTTCCAAAAATTTAAATTCCTTAAGAGCTAAAAGTGGCTCGAAAGTTATGGCGGTGATACCGTAAGACAATAAATCAAAAAGGCAACAAAAAAAGTATTTTGTGATTTTTCGATTAAAACATTTTTTCTGGCAGAAAACGTCGTTCGTGTTTTTATAATATAATGAAATCGTGAAATTGTACGGTTTCCTACGTTTTTTCCCACTTAAGTGCTTTTATTTAAAAACTGGCGTTGAAAATATTTAATGTACAATTTAGACAACTTGAACTTTCAGAAAAGTTACTACACGTAAAAATCGAAGCAAGTTTACTAAAAAATACGTGTCCACAGACTAGTAGAAAAAAAAGAAAGAAAAATAAACAGCATTGTAAAATCAATAGCTTCCTCGCTACGCATGGAATCTAAAATATATAATTAATATACTCATAGATTAAATTATATTTTAACGTTAAGATTGTTAAAAATATCTTCAGTCTCCCGCAGTTAATATTTAGTTCCACGTTTTATTACTGTACCAATCTTATTAATATGCTTATTAACTTTTGGTTATCTATTATACGAATATAAGCGACCTGTATAATATTCGATATTGAGTGATTCTAGGAATTTTTTTTGTATTATAATTAGAAGTACACCCAGGTACAAATTGATTTAGTTTTCAAATACAATATATAAATACTTAGAATTTGTGTGCATAAAACTATATTACAATATACACCGAAATTATGATAAGGTATTCAAATACATTTCGTTATAACATAAATCAATTATCAACTATATTTACTTGTTAGGACGAATCGCCTTTGTATACACATTTACTCGTGATTTTTATATTAATTATTACTTTATTTGCGTCAAATTATATTTAAATTCAAATTGTCAATCCTTGCTGGCTAATATTATTATAATAATAATATTTTTCTTCTTCTTCGGGATACAAAAGCGGCCTCTTGGATCATCCTATAATCATATATCCAAACCGCCAGTCACTCACCTATATTTCATGCCGGTGCTTTTCAATCTAATCCTCTGATTTTTCAAATTTATTTTTATTGACTATACGTATTTCTTTTTCAATCTCAGTTTTTAGACTAATAACCGAAGTATTAAAATTATATTTATTTTTAATTGCATACAAGATTTAAAAACTCGCGGTTAAAGCCTACGGGAAAATGTTGTTATTTTCGTTTATATTTAATGAGCGAGTATACTAACTCTTGTAATTATTATTATTGGACAGGTCGTTACACGCTCACTTGCGCAAGACTTTGCTCATTGGCAAGCGGCAAGTAAGTTCGCCCAATGTAATCCAGGCCTAGTGAATACGTCCTATTGTGGTCACATAATATCGTATTGAAAGATTCGGCCGATAAGAAAACCGGATGAAAATAAACTTAGGCATACGTATAAATGTAGATGCAGCATGAGTTCATTATATTATGTGATATTTCAGTGCGTTATTATTCACATTGAACTTTTTATCCGTATTCCAACACGAAATTTAAATTACTATTAATATATTGTACCGAGAAACAATAATTTCCCCAGAGATTAATTTGCTATATTTGCATCTAAATTAGTTATTAAACTTGTTACGTATTGTTCGTCTCTTTCGGTGTAATAATAACTAAATCCAATTTACATTAATCACAATATTACTCAGAATATTACCACCTGTACATTGCGGACGTATTATAATATAGGCCCTGTATATTATTATTATATATTTATATTACATATTAAAATATCTATCTATAATCTGTAGTGTATAGGTAATTTCTATATATATTTTTTTTAAATTGAAAATGTATGAAATTCGTCCGGACCGCTATGTAGACAAATATATAAAATACTCAATTTTCGTTCCGTATTACTTACGTATATCTTATAATATCTATAATAAACATCAACCGATACGTTCGAAACGATAGTATGTACTGTTATGATTTTTTTTTTTACTATTATTATTATTATTATTATACAACATGACGTCTCCTTGTTCAGTTTCATCCGAAAAAAACACTTCTTTGTGTCGGTGGCGTACGAACAAAACGTATTCTGGGAAAATAGTCAGAAGTATAATAATAATATTCCTGTTATTTTGCTACAGTCATGACATTTTTTTTTTATTTTTTAATTTTTTTTTCAACTGACAATAATTCTCATGTTTAATATAAAATATATATATTTTATTTTTTTATTACATTATCGCGGAACGTCGGGGAAAAAAATGGGATTTTTCGAAAACGTTGTTATAATATATCATTACTAAAGTATGCATACAATGTTAAAATATTTTTAATTTTATAATAATTCCAATTAATTTGAAAAAGACGTGTGCGTATTTTCTTTTTTCAGAAAACCCTTTTTGGTTATTAAAAATGGTCCGATTTTGACACGCAGTGTGGTATTTTAAATCTTAATAGACGCAGATTTGTCGTCTGGTTGTACTTTATTTGAATATGGCATAGATTATTTAAAAACATTTTTTAATTAATAACTCACGAATAATTAATAAATACGAGTAAATAAATAATTAGGTCACTGAATCTCATAGTAGAATCGTGGGACTCGAGATGATAACCAGAGGGATTTTTCAACAATTATGTACCCGCGAGAGAATAATGTTAATAATATTATGGTAGGTACTTCGTCTGATTTTAAGAGGTCCGTTTTTTTTGGTTTATGCTTTTAGATGCATAGAAGACATTTTCTATTAGGTATTTTTTATTTGTACGTGGTTTTTTGCGTTGTATCACATGACGAATATACCGCATAGTTTATATACCTACATAATAAATTTAGTGAAATTTTTAGGAGAACTTCTGTACAGTGACGCATAATACCGCAGACGGGTTTAAAGCACATTTACTTTTAGTTTTAGGCATGCGTCATAATAATAATAATAGTGTTGTCTCGTTATAGACTGGTTATATAGTCATCTCTATCGGTTATGGATAAAATATCGTAAAAGATCGAACGAAATTCGAATCCCACCCACGACGGTGATGACAACGACGTCTAATAAAAATGAAGCATAAAACTATATCTGTATGCATTTTATTTTGTTATTAATTAATTGTAAGTATCCATACAAGTATTTTATACCGTCCAGATTGACACCAATATTATACCTCTATACGTATAATACAGTGTCTATTTATTTTGTTTCATTAGTCTGCTGCAGTGTACAAGGAACAGGTAAAATGAAAATAAAAAAAAATTAAATAACAATTTTCGTTCGACATCAAACGTCTGTGCTATTCCGACGAAACCAATATGGGCAAGGCAAAAAAAAAAAAAACAATCGGAAAACAAGTTCGTCGGTTGTCATGTTTAGCGTCTTCGCTGGTCAATCCGAAGGTTTTTTTTTCTTCATGGATATACTGCTGTCTATGTTATATTGCTTCGGGCGAATTAATCGTTCTACTTCTTCAATATCTTTCAATTTATCGTTGGACGACGTTGGAAAATAAAATAAATAAAAAAAAAAAAACATTAACCGCTCGTTTATCCACATAACATTTATAATATTATTATCGTTAGGTGTACGTCGGTACAACAAAATTGTGACAAATATCCGTCACGCCTCACGCTGTTAATATAATATTAATGTTATTCGACAACAAGACGGTTAAGTTAAATACACCGGAAGACCATTAAATTTACTTTTGCCGGTCTTTTGTAGTATTATTTTTTAATTCAAAACCCCTCTCAGTATTATTATACGGTTATATTATTATTATACGTAGTCTTGTATTTTACGTTCAAAATGTTTTGCAAATATGAAACATTTAACCGCGAGCATGTTACACATATTGTTTTAAAAATATTGTCATGGTATTCCTGAGTAGCTGAATAATCACCGCGGTATCGATTAATTAAAGTAAAAGACATCGTAAATTATAATTGTATTAATTTTGAGTTAAGGTAGTATATGCAGGTCAAGTACCGTTTTGCGACATTTTTTAAGAAAAAAATATGAAAAATTAAAAAACGTTCTCATCATATTATAGTATCAATAAATATCCCACCGTAAAATACATTATGTATTTTGTATATATTACATTCTTATATAATGTGCGTTTGTGTACAATTCTCTGCACAGATAAATTATATAATACATTTATTATAAGTTAAGTACATATTATATATCTGTGATATGTTTTTTTTATATCTACACTCGTAATTTCTAATTTGTATTTCCTCTTTGGTCTTTGCTGTTATTTTTGTTTAATTTTCCTGAAACTACTTATCATGAACGAGAGATTTGAACATATTAACCACAATAATTATGTTCTAGCATGTATGTAATATAGCAACCATTAAAATCTTCAATTAACAACATAAATAATTTCTGATAGGCAGCTAATTTTATCTAGGTAGCTGGTGTATTGAGAAAGTCATTTTTTCATTTTCTTTATTGTTTCCTCAACGGCCGGAAAACTTACGCAATAATAGTCTTTGTTAATAGTTTTGGTTTTTCTGTTGCTAATCTATGGAAAATAACCTTATAGATCTGAACCTTTCACCCAATAATCATATTAGCATTTTCAAGATGTGTTGCAATTTTAAAAACTTTCTGACGATTTTTCTGTTATTTATAGTTATTCAAAAATGTCGACTTTTTTTGTTTGGTTTGGTGTGTAATACAAATTTTGTAAATTATTTTTATCATCTTTTTAATTTCAAATATATGATGAACACGAATAGTTGTAACTACAGTAGTTAAAAAAAATATACGCAATAATGTTTGATTTAAATTTATCAACAAATATAGCTCGAACTTTGCTCGGAATATTGTTTTTCGTTTACAATAATTTACGAGTAAATAATTACCTATAATATATATTTTCTATCTATGTATAGAACCTTTTTAATTTTCTACTCACAATAAGAAAAAAAAAATGACTTTAGCTCATTAATATTATTATACAACATAAAATATGTTAACATATGTTAAAAGTGGACATATTGTGTAATAATGACACTACTGCAGTAATATTTGAAATGTTGTTGACTACTCAACTTATTATAATTAAATTAAACGTTGAATAAAGGATTTTTTTAGATTTTGAGAATGTATTTGTTTTACTATAGATGATGTGCACGTGTATTAGATTCCGAGCGTAGCAAGCAAATTGTCTATTAGAAATGTTCCTACAATCGAAAAAGGTCGAGAGACTTTTTGTCGAATTTCGGACCTAGTTGGCTCAATGAGAATCGGAATAAAACAGGTTAAATAAAACGGTTAAAATATATTTGTGGCGCGCCGTGACGTTGAGATTTCATTATTTAAAATTTTTTCGATTTAGTTTTTCTACCAGAAATCTTGAACTAAAATTCAAGTTAAACATGAAACAGAAATTAAAATTGTATAGTTAGTGCGTCAGAAATATCGTTATTTTCCGTAAAGATTTTTAACGATTGGACAAAACTGGGAAAAAAAGTAGAAAAAACTTGTTGTTTTATGGAAATAACGGTTTAATTATTTTGATTATATTTTTTTGTTGCAATTCGGGGTAAAATATTCGTAAATACCTGGAAATTGTATAGTCTTTTTTAGATGTGGTGCAATTTTCGAATCATTCTGGCGATTTTTGAGATTTTTTCGTGCAGGAATTTGATATTTTCGAGTTTTTTTTATTTTTAATTTAATTCGAGGCACATTATAAGTTGTAGTTAGTGACAAAAAAAAGTCATTCGTTTATAATCAAATGTTGACGAAAATCGTAAAAATTACGGCATTTTAAAACATGTAGGTATACCCGAACTCCGTTCAAAATCTTTTTCAATTATCAACGGTTTATTGTTGCGTACAGATATAAATCGAATAACTTTGTGTATCTCCGATTTTCTGTCCACAACAGCAGCCCCAGTCGTCTCGAGTAACAGCTTTTTTTTGTGAATTTTTAATTGCGTTTGAAAAATACGTGTAAGTTATGCACTCCATATTATGCGCTTTTGTCGAGCCCGGTACTACACACAGCTATTATAGCAATATGTCGTGTACTTACATTTGTTTCGTTTTTTTATTTTTTTATATTAGACATAGTACTATCTATATACATACACACACAACATACATATATTATATATATATATATATATATATATATGTGTGTATTTGTAATGACATTACAAATACGACGTAGACATTTTTTTCTTTGGCCAGTATCTGTCATTTACGCTTATCCTTCTCCCTCCCTCAGCATGTACTCCCCTCCCCCTCCCTCTCCCTCACATCTATTGGACAGCGTGTATACAATATGCGCGCAACTCCAACAACAATAATTAGTGAATACAAACTACACCGGGCATTATATTAATAATATATACGCGCAGCGTGTGTATATGACATTGTTCTCGGTATTGTTTGCCGCGGCGCACGATGCACTTAACGGTCAACGTCAGTAAGGACGCCACAATAATTATTATTATTATGTATAAGTATGGAGGTACCACTGCAGCGGGTAACGATTTTAGACGTATATTTGAAATAACTACCGTAATTCGCGTGTACAATATAAGTTTATTGATTTGCGTAGTAAGAGCTAAACGCGTATTTTAAATATTATTCGGCCCTAACGATTGTGTCCGACCATCATTGTTCAATTGTCCTATCTCTAAACATGGATTTAAAATACACAAACTCCGTGACAACGTGCAGTAGATTAAACACACGTGTAATGGAGACCTCTTGCGGTAAACCTAAAATAATATAATTTTTTAATAATATTGCGTTCTATATTATACGCTTTTTGCGCCTTGTCATATTAACTATAGGTATCGAATTTAAAATCGAACTATTTTAATACTTATTAATTCATACTGATGTTGTACCAGCGAGGGATGGTCGAAATATGTCTACAATATTATTCTATGTAAATAGTGAATAAAAATATTCTAGTATTGTATTTTTCCCCATTATAAATACATACTAGTTGTATGATACAACACAATAAGCATTGATTACTATTTAATATTAGATCACTATTATAGTGCAATCAAAAGATATATGTATGGGTACACTATGTAGTTATAATATGTACCAAGGAGGATATATAAAAGTGTATACACTTAACTTATAAGTTGATTGGAAAATGTACACCAGTTTTGAATTCCACCAGAAGCGCCGGAACTACCCGATGAGGGCTCATAATGTTCATATTTCTATACAAAAATATAGGAGTTAGTAATTTGCACCAAAATAAAGATATGTAATTTGCACCACTACAGGTAGCCGAAAACAGTGTTTGTAATTTGCACCAAAATGAGTATCTATGTATTCGATTATCGTTTGTCAAGTACCTATTCGATTAATCCNTGAAAATATGACGATCATCCGTGATGAAAGTTCACACATCAATCACGATGAAAAGAACTTATATATTTATAAATTGAATCAATTATGTAAAACAAAGGCACAAGAAACACCGTACGAAAAACCAGCCAAAATTTTAAGAAATGTAGTACAAAATTCAATAGAGTCCAATGTTTGTACCAACAAGAACATTACTGATATACGTCGTAATATATGCAATAGTAAGAGGAAAATATTGCCAAAATATCCAGTATCATTAAATGAAGTTCATACAATGCTGTTAACTATGGATATTAAAACTCATAAAGGTGAACCATTTATTTTATCAAATAATTCTGATAAAAATATAATTATTTTTTCTTGGCACACAAATATTGATTTCTTATGTAAAAGTGAAACAATATATCTTGACGGGACATTTGATTATTGTCCGAAATTATTTATTCAACTTTTTACTTTACATGGATATTTTAATAATAATACTCGATACTATCGATACTATCGAAAGAANTTCTGCAAAGTTATTCACAAGTGGTGAAAATATGACGATCATCCGTGATGAAAGTTCACACATCAATCACGATGAGAAGAACTTATATATTTATAAATTGAATCAATTATTATCGAAAGAATAATCGATTTAAATTTTGGTGCAAATTACAATTTCTATTTCTAACTACCTGAGGTGGTGCAAATTACATATCATTTTATTTTGGTGCAAATTACAAACGCAGTTTAAAAATATTGGTGCAAATTACACATGTTAGGGTCAAAAGGTCACTTTTGGTGCAAATTGACTACACCCAAAACTATACCTACAAGCAGGTTTCCATAGTTCACAATTTCGTGGGCAAACGAGTTGTAAATTTAAAACATATAATAATATGTGCACAAACGAGTCTCCACCGTTAATTTTGAATTTTTTCCGTTTAACCTCATCAACATTCTTCCAACCATAACTCTCACATAATTTTGTTAGGCCCTGTACACACTAATATTATGGTCGTGGTACATAGATTTTTTTATAGGTTTTTGGCAAAGTCAATAGCTCAATTTTTCAGGTCTCAATGAATATTTATTTTTTCTTACGCTTAGGACACGTTATTGATTTCAAGTTTGCAATTATTGCACTTTTACTTCGATAGTTGTTTATGACTTTATCTAATTTTAAGATTTAAAATTAAATTGATACAAAAAATATGTACTTTAAAGAGATCGTTTTTAAAATATTGCGGTATCGATAAACCGTCGATTTGAAACTGTGAAAACCGGTTTTGTTTTTAAGTTAAGATTGAGCAAGTGATTTTTAAAATTAAGTTATTTGATTAGGTTGGAAATATAATTGTAAATTATAAATATTTCAGTCTTCTGATAGGGATTAATTTTTTTCAAAAAAAAAAAAAACAAATAATTAATACAAGATGTCTAAAATAAAATTTTAAATTATCAGCAATAAATAAGTATTGAAAAAAAATGACGACGTTATTCAAAACACAATTAACAAATCAAAGATTATAATCGTTTATTAAAAAAATGCAATTTATTTAAGTTTTAAAAAATGATGACTTTTAGACTGTACAAAGTGAGAAAACTATTAATTTTAAAGCTCTGCTTTATTTTCTCGGTTTTCAGTTTTTTTTATTAAACTTACCTTGCCCCAAAAAGTTTCGTTCAAAAAACTTTATACATACGACACAGATGGTACTTTATAATATTAAGAAAAATCGATTACATTATAAGTATGATAGCCAGAACATATGTCATTCTTATGTCCCCGCCGTATACATTAAAGTGGCATGTGTCGAAATGAGTACTTATATAATATCATGATTTTAATTAATAACATATTTTTGTGCCTAAATCGACTGAATATTTCCGCATAATTACGTCTCGTATTCAACGAATTTTACAAATTATTAATAAAAAGAAAAAGAATTTATCCTAAAAGCTGATTCCGTGCGACTCGTATAGATGGTATACATTATAATGTACGGTCCTTAATTATGGGGGAAAAAGTATATTATAAATATTATTGATTTTAAACCCACCTTCCGTTTTGTTTATGGCTATAAAAAAGTTAAGCGGGTTAAAAATTTAATTATGATAACTCACCTTTTGGCCGCTTCACGTGCCACACAAGAGGGTTGCAAATTACGAAAGAAGTTAGTTTTGTTGGTTTCTTTTAAATTTATATCAAAATCTATAAACTATAGTATTAAGCGCTCTAATGAATAAGACTTTAATTATTAAACGTAATATAGTACATAGTATTAAACAGTCTCCCAACCATAGCTCTTACGTAATTTTGTTAGACCTTGTATACACTACTGTTATGGTCGTGGCACATAGCGCTTTTTATAGGTTTTTGGTGAGGTTTATAGCTCAGTTTTTGAAGTCTCAATGAATTTATAAATTAATGCACTCTATGAAAAAATATTATTGGTTTTAATACTGTACATAATAAACGACGAAACAATTTTACCCTTTTCCTAAAAGGCAACGTGTGATCTGAGACAAATAAAAAAATTAAACGTTGTACATAATTGAAAAGGTACATTATATAGGTAACACGGTCATATACTAAAGTTGGAGCTCGGCCTGTTATCGTATGTCGAAGTGATTTGGTCAGTGCATTAAAAGCACCAATAGTAGTTAACATGCAAAAATAGGATAGATAAAGCATAAATACCAGCATAACACCAAGCTATGTATGGCAAAAACGTACTACTGGTCGAATTTACTAATATTAATAACAAAATAAGAACAGATTTAGTTATATTTCAAAAAATATAAGCGCTGTACACGGTTTTAAGTTTTTCTCGCGTATTCGAAATTTTTAATTTTAATCGTCAATCATAAGATTTAATTATAAATTAATTAAAATAATAATAATACACATACCTAATATAGAAATCGGGAATTAGAATCACTCTCACAGAGCGGTTGGATTTTTTCCTAGTTTGTTTTTATTACGACAAGAGTACCTAGGTGGGCACTCTAATTACGATTAGTTTGATAACAATGACGAGTTTGCTGTTATAAAAAGAAATCATTGAAATTTTTACTTTGAAAATATATTATGAATGGACAATACATATTATAAATTACGAGAATAATAATTATAATTTTATTTTGTAAAACTCTCTTGCATTCAGATAAAATATAATTGTATATTTTTAAATTATGTAGTTATTTTTTGATTCATTTTGTATTAAATTATCAATTATTATTAAGAATAATCATTGGTAACTTTGAAATTATGATAGGCTAATAGTTATACAAATTGGGATAAGTCTCAATTTCCGTTTATAAGTAGGTACAAGGTTTATAGCGGGCCAACCCAAACAATTCCTAGCTACGCCCCTGATCATTGCCCCAAAAAAAAACAAATACCTATCATAACAATGCAAAATTATTAGTTTAACAATATAGTATATTGTGTGGGTAGAATCCGTAGAAATTGCACAGTCTTCGATATCGAAAAAGATAAGTCGATAGATAGGTCGGTAATTTAAGTTTGAGTAAACCCTGCCTAACTATTATATAATTAAACTCCTAAAAGTAAAATTAATTACTTCCATGAATCCGGATACTTGTGAGTGTTCATTGTCGATTACCGTGCAGAACATTAAACATATTGGCTTCGAAATTCCACGTTCATCTAGATAAGTTTACGCCGATTCGTCTATTATTCATAATACATAGAACAAAAAGTAATTTCAAATAGTTAATTCGTTCAAAATATACGTATTAAAATGCGTATTTGCAAAACCCGACTATGTTACAAATTATATTAGATTTATAGATTATTATCATTGTAAAAAATACATTTTACATGTATGTAGTATGGTTCATAACTTAATATAGTGTGTTTGTTATGAGATTAAATTATCAACAATTCAGTTTGGTTGGTTATAAAAAATAACTCGTAGTATGCACCAAATATCAAGTAAGTACCTTTACTCTGACGTTATTTTTTTCTTTTTTACGTAATTCTTAGTGTAATAAATAAATAATCATTGGTTAAAAAAATGTTTTCGTTTATCCCCTGAATATAATATCTTTCTGTGTTTACATTATTTCCCGTTTGCTTAGGGGAATAATTTAAAATGTGTACATTGCGCGTAGGTTTAACAAACATTAAAATATATTCAATGTAATGTTGTGTAATGTGTTGACAATGATTAACGCTAAAATATCCGGTTTAATGAATTTACCGGTAAATCTCTTCACACAAAACTGAAAATAAATATTGCGCGAAAATACGTAATCTAAAACATCACGCGAAAAACCTAATAAATGCTCCTTGAGATTACGTCAACGCCACTCCCTATTGATGGATTTGGTCCGTATACTCGATGATTATGATCAAACAACACTTATCGTATAAAAATAATTCTTGTTTGTATATATGGTTTTCGCACGTCGTTAAAAAGCAAATATAATAATCTCAACAATATAAACAGAAATAAAATGTAACAACAAATTTATGTGTATTTAATATAAGTAAATAGAAATAAAAACTAAAAATGCTTTTGCATATGTTCTATTCTATACTTTACTAGAATCAAAAGCAGCGCTTTAGTGTTAAAAAATTGTTTGTTATGTATACATAGTATTTATGCATAAATTTAAAGACAATACAGAACTGTCTTCAAAAAAAACAATTATTACAATACGTATCCACTGCTCGAGTTTGAAATATATCTAAGTATGTAATTAACTATTGATACCACTATATCAATGCAATAGTGACAGTGCATCGGGCATGGTGTCCGTTTGGGTAAATGAGAACAAAATACAGTTAATTGAAATCACGTTCCTTTTATTTAGGTCAGTTAAATTAGTTGCAGTAACATGGAATTTCGTTAAAAAATTTGCACTGATACTGAAGTATCCAATGATAGATACTTATGGATTGTTCACATGCTAAAACTTCTTAAGTTTTTTTTATTGATAGTTTAAAATGTTTTCATTATAGACTTTTATATAAATGCCAAAAATTAAATTCACTATTAATTGCCAATTAACATTTGTTTTCAACAATTGCCTTATTCCTACATGGTGGTAAGCTAATAATAAATTAATTTTGCATTTACCGGGACCAATTAATATAAAAATTGTTTACCGGCATATTTTTCTGAATCTCCCGGTATCATTTTTTTTTTTTTTTGTCATCTATTGAAAATCAGTAGAACAATCCGTATAAGCGTAAGGACAACATTTGGCACAAAAACCAGGTGAACCGTAAAGACAATATTTTCATTAGTGACAAATTTAACATTTTTATCTGAAAATAATATGATATAATGAAAATATAATATTTCACGCGTTAATATCTGGCGATTTTTTGTAACAGTGTATTCTGCATTTAACTTGATCCGGCGTACTCGGTTCTATTGAATAATAATCATAAATATTCAATCGATTTTTATTTAGGTTACACGTTTAAAAACTTACACAAACACTAGTTAGAAAAAAAGAAAAAAAATTCAACATCGCAGTATACTAATACAAGTAGTTCACAAAAAATGAGCATCACTCGGTTAGGTGAACAACCAAGCGAGGAATGAATGAGTTCCTAAGTCCGATATTAATTTTTCGAGACGACCTTTTTATCGGCCACCTTTAACAAAACATTATATGAACAAGCCTAAATGTTTTGCTACCTACATTTTTGCCGTTTCCGGCACACCACCAAAAGCAAATGGTCTTATATCGTGCACGTGATAATTAACCGATAGTAGTGGTTTCTCGTTTCTCAGAGACCCGCGCAATGAATACGAACTTTGCTGTTCGGTAACCGGTAGGTATAATATATATATGGTTGTTATTCAATTTACCGATTTTAATCAGCATAGTATAATGTATAATACTCGAATAGTTTTCGGTCATTGATTCCGCTTTTTATATACTGCCGGCAAGTAGCAATCGGCATGCGCCGGGTCAGTAGTGCTTGGCATTACAGCGGCAGCTGCGGTCGGCGCGGCGGTCTCCGAGAAAGTGAGCGCAGGCAGTGACGGGCGACTGCTTTTATACTGTCGGCGGTGGTGGTGGTCGTCGCATATTGGTCAAGGTACTGTTTTCAAGGCGCGACCGGTCGCCGTCCGACTGTTATAGTATGTAATTCCTATTGACTGGTTTCCAACTGAACTTTATCGTGGCGACCGGCGACACTACCGCGGTCCGAGAGCAGTGTATTGCGATTGTCGCGCGTGACCGTTGATTTATTTCATTCACAAACCAGCTCTTGGATAGTGTATTTCGACTTAGTCATTCGACATTCGTGATACGAGTTTACACGTGCTATTATTCATTTATTGTCTACGTTTGTAATCATATTTCCTGCGTTCTTACATGGTTGGTTTTTAAAGTGCGCGCTTTTAAAGTTTGAATGTTTGTGGTATTTTAATTATTTCTTTAATAATTACTCGTATGTAAAAATATTTTTAAAATGGCATATCAAGACACACATTCTCAGACGAAAAAAGTTATTTTTCATGTTTATAATTATTTCAAAACATTGGCTGGTGACAAAGGTAACCCAAAAATTAGTAATTTTTTTCGTCAAACTCGTGAAATGACTGCTGAAGCGTGTGGCGTAAGTGTTGCTTGTGTTAAACGAGTTTGCGCTGAAGGGAAAAAATTATTTGTGAGTGAAAATCAACTAACTGCCGAACCATCTTTGTTTAAGTCTTCGAAGAAAAGTTATAAACGTGCCAAACCTATGACCAACTTAGACGATTTTGACAATGACGTTGTCAGAAGAACAGTTCATAGTTTTTATGATAATGGTCAGTATCCAACTAGTGAAAAAATATTGGAAGCGTTGCATGAAAAAATTAATTATTCAGGTTCACAATGGTCTGTGCGACATATTTTGCGTAATTTAAATTTCAAATACAAAAAATATAATGATGGGCGTAAATTTTTAATGGAAATATATGATATTGTTTGTTCTCGGGTTAAAATGTTGAAAAAAAATGAACGAGTTTAGACGTAATAACGACACAAGTCTTATATTCTACTTAGACGAAACATGGGCAAACCAAAATCATACGCAAGGACACATTTGGCAAAACTCCGACAACACTGAAGAATTAAAAGTACCCATTGGAAATGGCGGTTGGCTCATTGTGTGTCATGCTGGGTCAACTTCATTTGGTTTCGTCAAAAATTCAAAACTGGTTTTTCGTCTCAAGTCGGGATCGCAGGCAGACTATCATTCTCAAATGAACGTGACCATTTTTCATAAATGGATTATAGACATGTTGGGCAATTTAGAAGAACCTTGTATAATTGTGACGGACAATGTCACATACCATTCTACCTTAACAGAAAAATATCCTAAGGCAAATACTCAAAAGGCAGATGTACAAAAATGGTTACAAGGCAAGTCTGTGGACTTTTCTCCAGTAGAGACTTTAAGCGAACTACGGGAAAAAGTCAAATTGACGATGTCAAAAGAAAAAAAATATAAATTGGACGAAATCGCACTTCAAATGGGCCACAAAATGGTAAGACTTCCTCCTTACCACTGCCAATATAACCCAATCAAATTAATCTGGGCGCAAGTTAAGGGTAAAGTCGCAGAAAAAAATAACACCTTTAAAATGGCAGATATAGAAGTGTTAGTAAATAGTGCTTTAGATGCAATAACAGCAGAAAGTTGGGCAAAATGTGGCTAACACTGCAATAAAAATCAAGAAGACGATTTGGTGAAAGAAGTTTTAAGAGACGAAATTTTGGCGCCTATTACAATCACAATTAATTCCGACGACAGTTCTACTGACGAAGACGATGATGAAGATGATATGATTAAATTAAAAAATTGTATTTTATGTTTTATTTATGTTATTTGTATTTAATTTTTTTTATTATTATTATTAAATAAAAAAAATCTACATTACGTCGTTTGAAATTACTTTATAGGTGGGAAAACGGTAGGAATAGGCGGAGTAACCCTGACGAAAAAAAAGCCGCTTAGCGCGATCGCGGCTCACTTTTCACCTCGCGTACTATAATTAAAATGTAATATATTATAATAGTCGTCGAGACGACGTACAGTTTCAAAAGTAGTAGCTCGACTACAATAATATACTCTTACGCTCTAAAACAAAGGGCTTATACTACTATGCTATATACTACAGCAATGTGCTCATAACAGAGTCATGGTTATATCGATATTAATTCGACTGAATTAGGCCTGTGTGATTATGTTTTTATAGATGTGATAGAAGCTCTAGAAACCTCTGAAACGAGTTCCTTATCTAGAGGCAGCGACACATTGATAGCCGTTCGAAACTCTTTCCCTTCTAAACCTATTTTAATTTCAGAAAATAAAATTGAGCTTTTATTTATACATATCCAACATAACGAACAATCTATTATTATTGGTTCGGTTTATGTTCCAAATCGATTGGATGAAAATGTATATAATGAATACTTTAATTTTCTACCAGAAAGCTTACTCCAATTATAAAGTATAGCGACTTTTCTGTTCATGTTGCCTGAATGGTACTTTAAAAAGGTCATTTTTAAGATTCTCATTAATATTCGAGATAGTGAAGAAACCTGGTTCTTTAGGTTGATAAATATTGAAAGATTAAAAATAAAATTGTCATTGGTAACCGTTTTTATTAATTTTTTATTATTATTAAGTAATTATTATTTTAATCTTTTTTAAACAATCATTGTTGTAATAATTTTACCTGTAATATTATGGTAAGGTATACCAAGGTATACTGTATTGTTGACAAAGCAATACTATCAACTGAACTCCGCTCAGAATCGTTTTTCATTAACAATGGTTTATCGTTGCTTACAGTAGATATACATTAATTTCCCGTCTTTATCCTACCTTTCCAACTTCCCACCTACATAAGGGGCTGCACTCACATGTATGTCCGTCCTTTTTTTTTCCTTGATACAATTTTTTCAGAAACATGTGAATTATGTGAAAATCGTATAACCTGTTACCGGCAGTAATTCAAGCTGGAAAATTATTAGCTGAAAGGTTATATTATTGGTGGTAAAGAAAAAATATGGATTATGGTAATATTAATTGACAAATTATGATTCTGTCAGTACTTGCGATCGAAATAGATTTTGTTATTAACTCGTGTTTTTGTTTTCATTTATTGTAGTTTGTTACTTGTCTAATAATATTTTACAATCGAAATAAAACATTCTTTTACAAGCAAAACATAAACTATCGAATTTAAAAGATTATAATATTTGATTTCAATAATATTATAGCAATATGGTTTATTTACATAATGTTCCTTGATCTTTTTAATTATTAAAAAATTTAAATATTTACTAAACAAGGTAATAAATAATAATAATAATAGCAGCAAATTTTACCTAAAAAGTTAACAAAATTAAAAAGTACAACTATCTACCTAGCATAATATAATATGGGTTTAATTATTTTATAAGTTCTATTAGAAAGAGAGAAAAATGTCCATAATTTTAAAATCTAAACCATCTAAAAATAATAACAATAATAAAAGATAGGTACACGAAAAAAATATTTTTATGTACGATATTATAAAATAGGCGAAGTTAAATTGATGTCAAAAAATACAAGTAAAAAATTATGTAGGTATATGTCTATGATTTGCTGCACATCACATATACACCCCTTTCTCAATTTTGTTTTGAACAATGTTCAGCCGTTACTTAAATAATTTGAAAGTTCAAGCAAGTATATCGTATAATAATTTATTTAATGTTCAAATAGTAAACGAGTCGATACTATATAATATCACGACTTAATTTGCAGATACCTACTGATTATTAACAATTTTAATGTAAGTATTCAGTTCATAAAATGTAGGTAGGTACCAAATGTGTGATCACAATAATTATTTTTGTGAATTCTATTTTAGTGAAATTAATTGTACTTCATTATTGTTCAGACATGTATTCAAATTTAATTAAAGTAATACATTTTACGCGTTAGGTATGCATTACGTTTTTAATTTAACACGACTAGCTACGACACACAGGTGTTCAACTAAGTATAGAAATACTACCTAAATATTAAAAAAATATATTGTAACACCATGTTATTACATACAATATTATTATTCCTGGACTTTTGGTGAAATGTTTACTTGGTAAAGCATAATAATATAGTGGTTTATTGTATATGATTATTAAAATGAATGGGTTATTTTATTATTTTTTGTTTTATATTTTAAAACACGTTAACTTTCATAGAATTAATTATTATTTCAAATAACATACCTGCAACCCACTACCGTTCTATGGTATCCTTTTATGATATCACATACTTACAAATGTACATACGAGTTGATATTGTTATGTATTTTGTTATAAATTAAAATTAGCTATATAACTCGAGGTCACAAACTTAGCTTTTTGAAACTGATCCAACTTACGAACGTTCTCGTTGTTAAAAAAAAACAACAAAATCTTCTTTTAATTTTGTAGTGTTGAAGAAATCAATAACCAAAGTTTAATAATGTATAAGACATAATATTATTGTTATATAGTAATAATTATAGGCGTCCGCATACTTCAATAAGCCTTAAGATGATTACACGATTTTCTCGAAGTTTAATGTTACGTGTTCCGTTAAAATAATACTTGAATAACTATATTTATTCACGAGTATACTTCCGTGAGATTGTTGAACAGCTGACTGCAGTATACTTTGGGAGTAAATATTTTTAAAAGTATCATAATTTTTCTTTAACTCCCCGTTTCACAACAAGGTGGTACGCTTTCTGAAAAATAAAACCACAATATATTTAGAAAAATTATACTCGTAAATACATTATAAGACCGTAATACGTTTTTCAATTAAATATTATAGGCATCAAAGTGAAAAAACCCGTTAATCTTGAATCATATTATTATGATCCTCACCTACTTTTTGAATTACTACAAAAGTGTACGAAATTGATTCTCACTTTATATAATACGAGTAATAATTAACTATTCAATATAGGGCTGGAAATGTATAGGTCCATAAAACTCAAAATTACTCCGAAATTTTAAAATAACGTACCTTTAGGATACATAAAAAAATACATTTAAAATACAAAAATTGTAAAATAAAATATGTTACTATTATTCAAAAATACACAAGTAAAGGAAATACGAAAAGAGCATCGCAAGACCAACTTTTGAAAACCGCGCAAAGTACACTGAAATAGCAATCCTATTATTATAAGTTATGTATAATACAGTGTGATCACGATATAAGGTAACACTAAATATCTCTGGTGGATGACCTTGTATTGAAATAGGGTTTTCGGGAGGTGATAGGGAGTAACTTAATACATATTTTTAAATAAATTTCAAATTTTTAACACTCTTGGTGTGCGCATGCGCAACACAACTTACATTTTTTTAAATTTAGTGTTACCTTATATCGTGATCACACTGTATACTGTTGCTATAGAATCTGTTAAAAATAATGGCTTTAAATAGCGTGTAATAATACTCCTTATTAAACTTCCGTTAAAACTCAGTTAGATTACTAACGTCAATATGTTTAAATAATTTGGCGTAATACACCTATATATGAGCTCGTTTTTATATCTAAAAATCGAGTGTTTCGATCTGCAATCCGCAAAAGTGAATAACGCATACCAAAATGGGTTGCAGTCGTTAAAAAAAAATGTATGTATGTAAGCAACGATAAACCATTACTAACGAAAAATGATTCCGAGTGGAGATTAGTTGATAGTGTTGCTTTGTTAACAACATATATGTCAGATTTTGGTAAAATAACTACATAGGAATTATAAGCATATTTTCTGTAATAATATTTATTTAATATTGTACCTATTTTCCCATTTTCCCAACAGTTTTCTCATGTGTTTTTTCCCGGTTTTTCCTATTTATTAGGAAAACTCCTGAGGAATATCAACAAATTACTTCATCAAAGCAGGGCTCGAAAACGTTTATATAACGTTAAACTTAAACGATTGAAAAAGATAACTGAAAATAAAACGGTAAACAGTAATATTAAACTATCATTAAACGAAACGTAACAATAAACGACAGTTTTAGTAAAAAAAAAACGATAAACGGATAAATTAAAAAATCATAATACCAAACATAACAGAAAACGAAACAAAATCGTAAAACAATAATCGATAATTAAATATTATTGATTACATTTATAATTCAAGGTGTATAAATAAAGTAATGAGACTGATAACGTAGCTAGTTATCTGGCAGCACTAATGCCTATCCATTTAAGGTTTTATAGATAAACATGTAATGTGTCTTCAGTACGAGCTTGAAGTTCAAGTACGAAGTTCAAGCCTTGAACTTCGTAGTGTCACGTGTGGCGTCAGTAGCGATTATTTTCGTAAACCGTTTTTTTTAAATACGTATTTAAGTAAGTTCTAATTATGAGTGATAACAATTTCGAACAAAGATGTGCTATCCGATTTTGTTTCAAACTTGGGCACAGTGCGACAGAAACTTTTTAAAATCTTTAAAAAGCACATAGAAAATGTGTGCTTTCAAGGGCCCAGGCTCAGGTTTATACGTGGCTTAAGACATTTTCAGAAGGCAGAGAGTTGATTAAAGATAAACCTCCAAGTGGAAGACCTTTAACTACAAAAAATGATGAAAACATCAATAGAGTTCGGGATCTTGTCCAATCCGTTCGTCAGTTAACGATCAGAATGATTGGATAACAGTTGGGATTAACATTAATTTGGAGATGAAAAAAATCTGCGCAAATTCCTGTCACAAGACCAGAAGTACAACGGGAGTGACAAGCGTCTCGATTTTTTGAAGCAGATTGAAAATAACCAT